ACAGTAACATTTTCTGACTAACAAAGAAACTCAGATATGTTGCTGTGGAATCGCTCTGCACTGACAATGCATTGAAAATACACCCTGCGTCACACACTTAGTACCTCATGTACAGTTTTTTTTTTTTTTACCAACAGCAGTTTCTTAGAGAAGGGACATGACCATAAGCAGCTCTTCCTTCTTGACTTGCTCACTTTAGATGAATATCAATAACAGAAAGTGCTTGTCGCCATTTATTTGTGCCACTCTGATGCTTGCACCTTTATGAGTTTGGCAAAGGTTACAGATTGAAAATGGACTAAATGATGGATTGACAATAGATATGGAAACATCATGAATTGAAACATGTTAATTGGCCTTGATCTTGACATTGTGCACCAACCTGGGACATCTGTAATTATGTTATATTAATCAGTGACAGACATTTGCTTGTATTAAAGTGGTGTACATTCAAGCTGTAAGCCACTTTGACACTGGACCACAAACCCTACTAACATCTGGCTTTTATCTTCAATTGAAAAAGGTGTACAATCTGCGTTCATTCCCGGGTCAAATTGAATGGGTATTTATCAGCTACAACTGCGATCTGCATTGATCGATACATGAACCCCAGGTGCACACGCTAGTTTTCGCCACTTTTCCGCATTGAAGTTCTGGATGTTAGCGCATAATTAGCCAGGAACATTATTTATTGTTTTTGTGAACGATGGTCTTCGTATCAAGCACAATGCAACACCAGCAGGCAGCAAGGTGAAAAAGCCTATCCTGATCTGCATTGAGTTTGAAAAACGTAACATTGTCAGTGGCCTCCGTACTGCTTTCTACTCTTTACTAACTCTGCTCTCTGGCGAGTTTGTGACGCCAAACAAAACACATCAGGAAAAAACCCCAGAAACAAACTCATCTACTGGCAATGGAAAAGGAGTCAATCATCTATTTTTAATGAGTTAACCTTGTTTAAAATAGTCCCTGGTGATATTATATTGATAAGACTCAGTGCTGAGTAGATGCCCAGAGGGGATATTTGTTACAGTGGCCTGTCCATGCTCTATGCTACAGTACATACAACTAGATACACATAGAAACATCCCCAGCAGCTTGTTTTTTGTAGTTGTTTTTTTTTGTATGTGCACCAAAATGAAATTGATTAAATAAGCCACTTAAAGGACCAATGTGTGGCAGGTAGCGACTTAGTTTCTGATTACAACCCCCTCGCCTCACACTCCCTTTCCAAGTGTGTAGGAGAAACTATGAAAAAAATATAAAGGCCCTATATAGAGCAAGTGTTCGTTCTGCACTACTATAGAAACATGGCTTTTCAACATGGCAGATTCTGCCAAAATATTAATGAGATGTGGTATAAGAGACATTTTCCATGATTAATTTGTCTGGAGGCTGATGGATCCAAATGATGAGCTGACATTTGTAAACTATGATAAGGTTTGTGTTATGAGGCTGGTAGAGGGACAACCCACACAGCTCATTAATTTTAATGAGCTCCACCTTTCCAGTTTTGTTAGCGTTGATTTTGCACATATTACTGCTGGTCTTTCTTCCAGCGCACAAAGAGGCCTAGATATTAGAACATTCTAATGTCACAATAAAAATAGTACCTTCCATCCAAGGTTATTAAGTATGAAGAGTGCATCTGGAGGTCTGTGAATGAAAGCAGGTGCTCTCTGGACACAAAAGTCTGATGAGATGACGAATGAGAGATAACAGCACAGATAGAATTTCTGAGCAAATGCACTCATGAGGATTGGGAAGTAAAATGTCAACGACAAACCCTCAGTTTTATCCTATTTCTCATGATCCACAGCAAGTTTTACTACTCTGTTGAGTGAGTCTTTGCTGATAGGGAGTGATGCTGATAATAAAGAAGAAGCAGAGAAGATGAGGGGGACGGAGGG